TTTTGAGCTTTTTGGTAAATGCTAAGTAGTTTTCCACCAATGTTATATTTTTTTATATTACTGAACAAAAGATTATCTTGACTGCCTTATCAAAACCAAACCAGGGACTGCCCTAGGGTTTTCTTATGCTCAAACGCGCAATCTGCTCACTCCCATCACCATACATGCATTTTGGAACTCTGGAGTGATATTAGTACTGACATTTCTTCAGGTAAAACAATGTTTTTGAAATTTTTAAAAATTTAAAGCTGTTTGGGAACATTTTTGTTGTTTATAATCCTTTTTTTTATTTTGTATATGTTTTGATTGTATATGTTTTGATCTAAAACAAAATATGTTTGACATAATTGATTAATATGTTTATTTTTTAAAACACTCTAAAGATTTAAAAATAATTAAGTATTTTTAAAAATATGTTAATTTATTTTCAGAAATAAAAGATAAAAATGTTTTAAAAATATAGTCAACAAATTTATTTAAAAAATAATAATAAAAATGTTTTAAAAATATAGTCAACAAATTTATTTTAAAAAAAATAAAAATAAAGTTGATCCCAAATAAGCCCTTAGATTATTTAGTATTGCTATTATTGATGGAATTATTGCATAAATTTTTAACAAAAAATTATTTCATTTTTCTTGTTCTAATTTTAATCTTATTTTTTCTTTTTTGGTCTGCATGTTACACAGCTCCAAGGTTATGATATCCGAGAGTTATTGCAGGCGTCTTGAAAGGGAGTGATATGCATTATGGTTCTGAGTTCTCTGAGTTCTTTCATCAATCTTATTATTTTCTTTTTTAAGAAAAATGGACTAAACAAACGAAGAAAGAAAGAACGGGGAGCGAAATTTGTTCTTAAGTGTTTGTAAGTTTGGTGTCATCTTGCACTTGAAGATCATCTAATTGACATTAAATTAAGACAATGGTTAAATTTTTAGAAGATTATTTTAAATCTATATGATTCTAAGTTCATTTTGTATTATTTTTTATTTTATGGTCATTTGAAATCATGAAAGGTTTTGCGATCTAGCGGATGAAATGGATTATTTGACCGCATCAATTTGAGTTTGTATATTTTATTACTTATTGTTTATCATTTTTTTAATTGCTCTTAATAAAAAAAGAGTGGGTTTCATTGAATGCATGCTTTAGTTTAAATCTATAGCCTGCAATGTTAGGCCATTAGTATAATCAACTTATTTTTCTCAGTTATTTCTCTAATTGATGAATAGTTTCATATTATGAGTTATTTTATAATACTAATTTATATAGATTTTTATT